GTTACCAAGCGTAGTACCGTTCTCGGCTTGTTTTTTGTCAGCCTTGCCGTCATGCATATTTTCTCCCGTTTTGCCCCAGCGTTTACCTCGCATGGACTTAGGTGTCGTGAAAAACTTGGGTCCTTAATAATAATCAAAACTGTACAGATTTGGACTTTTCTTCAGTTCGGTAAGGACAGGTAACTATTTGTTAAGTTGTTAACTATTGAGGCTCATGGAGGAAAAATACCCTCTGGCTTGGATGGCACGGCTATTCTTGTTGTCTGTTTCAGTCTTAGATAATCCTGCCATCGGACAGATAATTGACCCATTTGTCCTAAATGACTTCAACGTATCGATTCATTTACACACATGACTTAATACTTTTAGCGCTCATCAGTTTTAGGTTCATAGTAGGTGTCGTATGCTTGACAAAGTCTCCGTCCATCCGTGACGTGCCAAATCTGTCACTTCGTCTATACTTCGCCCCGTAAAGAGAATGAAGACGAAATGCGAAGTACTATATTATACATAACATTATATCATGTACTACAATTTGAAGATATTATATAATCGTATATCGTGGGTGGCGGAATAGCTCCGCTCGAAGCGATAGGTGATTTACGACTTGAACAGAACGTGACCGTAGCTACGATGTTGCCGCGCTAATTGACATAACGTATTCGTATAGTTGCCAACGTAAACGTCATGGTTTTGACGCTCCACGCTGGGACCGCGAACGAGATGTAAGTACACTAACGCTTATAAAAGCATCTATTTACGCATGCATTTAGCTATATGTAGTAGATTCGATATGTTTGAACCCTTTGATCGAAACACAAACGTGCATGGGGCTGCATACAAAACTTTTTAGAAACAGTCATTAAAAGCCATAGATGGATGGCTTGATATGAAGTCAAACATTTTTGTCCTGCTTGGATTTTAGGTTCGGTACTATAAACACCAGATAATAATAGTTCTATGAAGAGTGTGCCCAGGGCGTAAGTTACCCTGTGGAACCACGCAGTCTAAACTAACATCGTGAACCCACTCAACAACTACTGAACGAACAACTAAATAACTCTCTTTGAAGCAATGTTCACTCGCTCGCCGTTTAGCTTACAAAATCAACAGACTTTCCGTTGACAGCCTAAATAAACAGGGTCTTAGAGCTATATTGACACTCCCAGTCGACTGGATGTTTCTGGATGCTTTCCATTTAATACTGCTATTAAACATTACTTTAGATCGACTAACAAACAATTGACTACGATACAGAACGCACTACCTGGTTGTGTGTATTTTTCGGTATTCGAATTTGTCTATTTTAACCCACTATACAGTGATTATATTGCCAGAACAATTGGACTATACCCCGTAACATTGACTGCTGTACCTCTCAGTTGCCATAGCGGACCGAAACTGTGCCAATAAAATGGCCATCCATGCTTTACGAAGTGTTTATATAACTTATTGACGATGTATTTATTTTGTCGCCTTACGCAGTAACGAACGAAGTTACAGGTCATCGTCGGTAATGAACAAATTGGTAAAGGATTTTGCGGGAAACACAACAGCTTTATTGACTTCGCCATAAATCGTCCTACGGATGATGCGGGTTGTTCTGCTAGCTTAATTTGAGTTCGGTAACTTATTCATGATTGAAACGTATGTGACGAATAAAGATAGATCACTCTTAACGTGGCCGTATATTATAGATGTACACAGTTAAGTTAAATTTACTGTAAAAAAATAACTAAAAATTACCTCTCCTATTAATGCTCAAATAGTAACTTTTTAATTGAGTTTCGCTTTTTTTACTTATTTTGATTTCGTTCAACAACACGAGTAAGCCTATTCGTTTTTACTCAACTTTCCTGCTCTCCCATTTAACCCAAAACATACTATCTGCTTGCCCTTAGTCTCTACCTTCTTTCTTGTCTCCATTCGCTCGTTGTTACTGCAACAACAACGACGACTAGTAAAGACAGTAAAAGTTGGTGTTTTCGTGCCGTACCCGACGCTTCAAGCTTATCTCTAACTTTTTTTCCTCCATTGTCGCACCAACAAAACGAAAAATTGGCTTGAACTGAACGTGTCCTGAATGAATCCTGTTTGATTAAAAAATATGGCCAAATAGCAAATATTAACAAATGTGGTTGAGATGTTGACTCATAGGACAAACACTTGGTAACCATAATCCTTGATGAAAACGCGCAATCACACCAACTGCACGTTTATTGAATTAAACGACGATACAAATTTTTTGTTTGTTTGTGTGTGTGATAATAATATACTACCAATAATGAATTCTTAATTTAGACATTGATGTAATCGTCAATGTTTTAATTAAGATCTCGTCAAGATGACTTCTGCCATTAAAAAGACATCTTGGCCTCTCAGAGTAATTTCCCTCAGAACCTTTTGTCACCAGGTACGCTGTAATAAGGAAAAACTCCCTGGAGTCGACTGCTCCCCCGACTGCAAGTTTCCATAAAAAAAAAAGTAGGCTCCCCCCTGCAGGTTTTTTGACCCACTTAGATGTTACCAGTTTCCCAATTTAGATTAATATTGACTTGGGCAATGATCAGTTTTTAATCATGTTAAGAGCATTCTATTCATCACCCTCGCAAATTTCAGCTAGTAAATATGATATACGATGGGCTATAGCCCATCATATGTCGTATTTGGACACACGATAAATCCTTTGAGTTAGTTAAAAATAGCCAAAAACAACCATTCGAAGGCGCACTCTTCCTGCAAGAAATACCCGCCAACATTCAAATTAAGACGAGAACACCGGTGCCTAAAGGGTACACCGATTTCGGGAGTTTTTTGGGCATATTGTTTATCTAATGATATTCACCTATGATGAATCAGCCTATAATGATGATTTCAGAGAGTTTATAGGGACACGTACTAACGTGTCAAATGACAACTTTAGACAGAACGATCAATATTTTGGAAAGCGGTTAGGAAGATTAATCAAATTCTGTTTGAAAGGAGGGATTTCTGATATGAGTACTCAGAGTTCGCATAACTTGGAAATATCGAGCTCCGAAGGAAAGCTTCTAACAGAAGTTATCGATGCTACTTATTCTATAGTGGCCTAGGCTCCCTAAAAGGAAGTTATAAGAAATAAGCATCCAAATTGCATGGTTCATTTTCCTCTGGTATCAGACGTCAGTCGTTGAAGCTTCTATGTTTGTGTGCAAATGCGATCCGTTCTGGATGTGACACAGTCAGACTTCGTAGAATTGGTACATCGAACTAACTAATCACCTTGCCGGTTTCTTTACAAAAACACTATAGACCCTGTTCTTATAACCTACGACTGATGTCTTCAAGTTCACTATTCTCGAAGGCTCATTATGTTTAGGATCTCTTTTACTCAGTAATACAGCCGTCCGACCTCTATATATATATATAGGGACAACATACCCATGTGCAATACTTCATAATATCGTTGCATCTAGATATAACAGGCAGACACTGACAGGGGTCAGCGTTTTATTTGCGGGATGCCGCAGCGTGAACCTGAAGAGATTCAGTAGCACGAACAACAACTAACATCGTTAAAGAAAATTTAAAATAAAGTAGCAAACTTAAAATATCATAGCGGTTCTTCGTATTCCTATCGTGCCCGAGGCAATATTTTCTTTGAGCAACTCGGAAGAGCCCTGTATACAGAGCTTTCTCTTTTTCAGATCAAACTTCTTTAGACTGAAATTGGATTTAAACTGAAATATCGATGACGGAAATGTGCACGGAAGTATATACAGAGAAAACCTCTAGGGTTGAGATTTGTTTACTCGAGGGCATTGATAATTGGACTATTATGCTCTTACAAGTAAATGTATACAAGTTTCATGAATTTTTATGACTTTAACACAGGCTTGGTGTTCTGCCAGCATTCGTCTTACTTGATCTCTAACAAGTCGCCAGACAAGCTCGGGCATATAGTCAAGTCTACTTTCTCATTGCCGAGAGGACGTTCTAGATGTGACTACTGAGTCATGGTGCGCTGTTCCTAAGCCAGACAACACAGGACTATATGACGCTGTGTCATCCATGTCTGTTTTAAGTGTGCGTGCTCCTCATCCTTCTTCTCCATTATTAATGTAAGACCCAATGAGGTTTTGCTATTGAAATTGAAGAATGAACACATCTTGGGCTTTTGGCGCCGTTGTAAACAACTGTAATATTCATCCTTTCTACTTACTAGCCGTCAAGTACGGACCTAACACATTTAGGTCGAGTCGCATCCCCAACGCCGGCTGGTCTAACCGGAAACGGCGGCCGTCGCATGATCTAGTCTGTTTTCACTACCTTACGTGTCCCTCTTCTTTTCATCAGTGCAAGAATCAATAACTCAGTTTAATTGTTTGCTAACAGCGATCTTCAAAATGTCACGTCCCAGTTAAAAAAAAAAAGTGCAGGAGGATTTACGATAAGCGACAAAAGTAACAATGCGTGATTTCATCTGAAAGCTCTACTTTTAAACGGAAGTTCTAAGTAGTTCTAAAGGACCTCAGTTTCGTTTCGCTGACAGTCAAATATATAAGACGAAGGCTCGCAAATGGTTTGAAATGATCTAAGCTCTTTGTCTCAATCGTCTTTCTAGAGATGCGTACGCTTCTAATTATCAATAACAATAGTAATAACAAGAAGAATAAAAAACTTACCTTTCTAAAATAAAAACATTCACAGAATTTGCAAAACAATTTAAACATGGCTAGCTATAGAATAGCCAGGACAATTGTTGAAAGAATCAACGTATCTATGCAAAGCCCCAACTCGATGGAGTTGTGTACCTCGAGTACAGTATCTATGAGGATGCGCCAAATGTCGATGCGCAACAGGTCGACGAGAACAGGGACGGGATATTCGATTGGGGCAAGAGGTTGTTTAACTCCACGATAAAGAACTGTTTTTGGTGCCATTTACCTCCACTCATTCGAAACCCCTTTCCTTCTGGATCAGTGGTTACCATGATAAGAGATAATACGGTAGTAACTTACCATGATCGTTTGCTCTATCCGGGACGTAAAGAAAACAATTGGCTTTGCAGATCAATGACACCGATCGGAATCAGTCAGATACGCCAGTATCGAGACACACAGACGTCGTATATTGGCGGCATTACGACAAACAACTGCTATAACTGAGCACATATGAATTCGCTTCTCACTTCATTGAGTAGGGTCTTGACCACTACAGACAAAATTTGTTGTCACCATAAGAATATTCACTTCTTTACTTTGAAGCCTGCTGTTCAACAACTATAGTATTTCGCTCAGTTCCTTTCACTATAGTTCACGGGCCGATGCTAACCTTCAAACTATTGTGCCGACCGGGTCTGTGGTAAGTTCGTAGGAACGCCGCTGCAGAAATCAGCGTTACTCGGTTTCTGGCAGATTCGTTTTTGTTAGTGTCGCTGCTAATACCGTTGTCGTTTGCTTCGCGTGTACACAATTGGATGAGAGTGTAGATGTGTGTTTCCATGTAGGAGTGGTTCAACGGCTTGGTTAAATTGACCTGGTGTAAGTAGTAATCAGATCAAGTGAGCCAGAGCGTCCCAGCCGCGGCCAACTTCTCAATCGCTCGGTCCTGCGGCGTTGTTCAGTGATAGTGGTCCACGGCCTGCAGAGTTGTTAGTCGATCCCAGTCTAGTCTAGGACTCAGAACAGATAGCTTTTGCAACAGTAGCTCTTTGTTGCGAGTTTATTTCCCTTCACCCAACTGGCCTAACAGATGTCTTCCGGTTGTTGCCTTTGTCTAGTTCTTAACACGGCAGCAGCAGCAGCAGCAGCAGCAGCAGTCGCAAAGTGCAAGGCCTGTCTTCAAGCAGATGGCCAGGCAGAGAAGAAGCAAACGAGCTTAGTAGGGTTCTACGCTACTGCTTAGCTGTCATGCAGATCGGCAGAGCCCGCCAAACTAAGCCTGATCAACGATGGTGGTTCGGTCCTGATCTCTGGCCCACTTCGTTGACCAACGACACCAAACAGCAGCAACAGTTAAAGTGTCGTGATAAAAGAACTGGGCCTTTCATTGGAAGCAACGGAGAATGCAGTAGGTCTTTTCATTAGCTAGCTTGCTGCGATGGCGACAGGCCGATTAGCTTTGTTTCGCGTGCCATCTAGGTTATGCAGAGCGTCTTAGCTAGTGGTCTTAGGCGTAGAGCTCTTAACAATGACCACGTTGACAGTCGTATTTGCTGCTGCTTCTGTCGCTTTTTCGGTTACAGAGTTCTCGCGCCAGCTACTCCCGGAAAAGAATAATTTCGGGAAGATCGGCACGCTGACCTTTTCCTTCTCCCAGACGAGTAGATTGATTCATTTCGTATCTTCCGAATGTCTTTGAGTAGTTCATCTGCTGTGGCCATGCCATGCGCATGCACCGTATAACGAGTTATGTACTAAAAAACCTATACTTAAGGCGGCCACTGACTGGCTGTACGCCGACCAAAAGTGTTATCACTCCGCCAGCTATTTTTGACCTTGTTAGTAATTTCTCGGTTACTTTTCGAGTAGAGAAACCTTTAGAAAATTCTTTCTCTGTATATATATCAGAGAGCAAGATGTATATATATATATCTGTTCCTTGAAGAAGCGTTCTCCTTATTAGTGTTAATCAATACTATTATTATTATTACCGGACCGAGTGATCGAGGTGATGTACTACAGATACGTTGCTGCGTTCGCGTCGGCGAATCAAAGGCGACGCTTGGCTTCATACACCGCTCTTCTCGTCTTCTTTTTTCGTTTGTGTGCCTTTTTTTCTTGCTGTTTATATCTACACTAGAGTGAACTATTCTTGAGCGGTCGAGCTTGTAGTCAAGCCTTGCTGCACTATTGATAGTATCGTTGTGAACGCACTTGCCGATGCCTTGCTCGTGCTAAGACTATCGCAGTTACAGCAATTCCTCTATCGATGGAAGTGATTCTAAAGTAAATGTTTACAATCAATCGGTGTCAACACTTGATTTTCTTGCGGCAGAACAGGATAACTTGTACCTATTTTGCTTGTTTATCAGCCAGGTTTCCCAGTAAAAGCGTCCAGACCTCCATTCGCCTCTCTTTTGTCGTGCTTTGCTTTACCTTCTTGTGCGTTTGTTAAAGGTCTCTGGCAGCAGGAGCCGACGGCGCAGATCTTCGGGCGAACTAAATCAGTTGCTCTAGTTTGTCTGCTGAGCTTGACCGCCGTCGTTCTACAATGTCTTCGATGGTAATGGTCGTACCTGTTGTATTGGTGTGGAACTCGCTTGCTGCTAACTGCCAAATTCGTAGCCGGAGCCGCTCAAGCCGGTAAGAAACCCGTTTACCTGGATGGGAGAGGGCTGCTACTAGAAGAAGGAAGGGGCAGCAATAGTGGCAAGACTTACTTGACGAGTTGGCCTCCGGCCTTAAACGGGGCAGAGGGGCGAGCGGCCCGTAAGAAACCTTGGCAGTAAGGACGGGGTAAGGGGACCGCCCGACAGACCGACCAAGATGTCCGAATGCATCCATCCAAGAACGGGGAAGGACAGACCCTGTGCAATACATATACAGACAGAAAGGGCATAGCACATAAAGAGACCCGTCCCTTTTTTGTCTCCAAACCCTCTGGTTCTATAAATCACGGCACGTCTTCGTACGCTGGTGCCGCTACCGTCTCCCACTTCCTAACCATCGTATATCTCCTAGAACTTGAGCAAAGCGAAGATAACCCTTTCGATCGAAGGAGCAGATAGGGCAGCATTAGCGCCAGCAGCCGCGACGGACGGGATGGAATCGAAGCTTAGCTTGCTGCCCCTGCATTAGAGGTGTCGTGGCAGCCACTGTCAAGCTAAGTGCTGGGCGACCATCGCTGGACTGGGTCGGTGAGAAGAGCTCGGAAATCCGTTTGTGGAAACATGCTACTGCTATATAACATATACTACTTCCGATGATATTGCTAGTGCTGTTAGCTAGCTAACTAACTCCCTACCAAGCAAGAAGGGCCATTGTGGGATGGCTTGCTACATCCTCAGCGAGAGCGCCTTCCAAGGTCGCTTTGCTTGACTGGCAAGGGCCGCTTGTTGATGAGCGACGGCCAGATGGAAAGACCACGGCACGCATGGCAGCCGTGAAAGTAGGAGTACCGCTAGAAGGAAGAATGCGAAGCAACTGCAACCGACTGGCAGGCGAGTGCCGCCTGCTATTGCCTCAAGCGTTCTGTTGGACCTTGCAAAGGCTGTCGCAAAGAGAAATAGACACCCCTCCTCCTCTGGTTTTTGAGGTCGACCGTTGGAATCGAGGATTCGCAGTGGGGCTAACCAGAATGGTCCCGAGGTTGTAGCTAGTCGGTTTCGTGCTCCCTCGCCTATTTCTATGGAGCCTGTTGAAGCCGATCGGTTGTATTTAGATCGACAGCCATTCACCTTCTCACATCATGAGAAGAAGCCGCGCCCATTGATGAGAAATTAGGATCATTTTGTTTATATTCGAATAGCATTTGGTCGCCTATGCAAAAGAAAGATGAAAACGCCTTTATTTTGAGACATCAATGAAACGCCTACTTCGGTTGGAAAGGGAATTGTCTATGATGTTGAACATTAATCGAAGTTTGTCCTGTAAGGTATGGAAGTAGAACACGAAAGTTCTGTGCACAACTGGCTCAGTAGAGGCGGGAATCGTTCAGTAATAGCAGAATCAAATTTGGGGCCTAACGAAAAGCTCAGTTAGCATTCGTCTTCGGCAACAAGTTTTCAGAAAGTGATTTCGGTGCAGCCTTTGTGATGTTAAGGTGTGAAGTTTGTTGTACGTAAGATCCAACGCACTGACGTGTTTCTCGCGTATAAAGCGTTAAGTTGCGTTAGAAGACGTTTAGCGCGTATATCAACGCTAATGATGATCAAAGCCGGTCCTTAGACAGCCAGGCAGGCGAAACGGAGCTAGGCTAATCGCTGTTTTGGTCACAGTGATTTACCAAACAAACAGCAGTAGCTGATCTCACTGGTTAAGCAAAAAGAGTCCTTGCGTAGATGACACTCTCCATCTTATGTATCCATAATGTAGTTACGGCAGCTGTGTTTGGCAAGAAACTGTCCCAAACAAAAATAGTAAAACTCCGCGGCACAACTGTTGACACGGGGTGGCTATGGACACCCGCATAATAATACCAATCTAAACTATCGAAAACGTTAGATCCTATCCAACGAACGTAAATCGTATAAATGTACCTTGCCCCGCAGCGATGCTTTTCTGTATCATGGAGGCAGTCATCCAAAACGCCGGTGTCAAGTACGTAAAACGATATCAAACATAGTGCATTTACACAAGCAAAAAGAGCAATACATGTGTTTACGTTATTTAATTAAATAACCCAAGCATCGCTTTTCTATATTATGTATGGTTTCTCCCCCACACGAATCTTCATTTAATCGAATCTCTTCACTGTACCGTCAAGTGATAAGATCCAAAAAGTTTCACCTGCTAGTTTGTTATTTAAGTAATTGACAATATAATAATTGTAAGTTAATGATACTATTATACTGAGCTTTGTACTACTCGATGTCGCTTTTTATTGGATACAAGGTTCCGTGTAGTTATGGTATTATGGAGCTTCTGCCCATCGTTCATTTTATTTAAACAAGAGCAACTCCCGCATCAGTTGATTAACATCTGCTTTGTACTACGTTTGAAAACGATCAGTAGACAGTAACAAGAACGATGCCAAAAAGGACTGTAAAACTTTTAATGGCAAACGTTTGCAGAGTAATCCTCCGATGTAAAACAAATGGCTTTACTTTTCTTTTTTCTTTTAACAAACTAAAGGCACGGCCCCGCTTTAGAACTCCGTGGGTGTTGTCCTAGTATAAGGGCGTTAGAAAAAAAATGACAGGCTAGAAGAGACCCTTCGTTACAATCCCTGTTCTACAATGGGCTTTGTTAGAAAAAAAAAACTGTCCCAAACACATGGGTATTTCATATAGGAAATAAATAAAAATCGCAGTGTAGCTTCCTTATACTGTTGGCTGACAGAAAAATTATTGGCGTTATATATCTAAAGTAATGTATTGCTCTGATCCTATTTGAAAGCTGAAACTTAACAGATAATGTGCTAAAACCATTTTAGTCAGGGTTGGGATAAGGCGCCTCGAAGACAAGCGAAATTTCTACAAAAGTTTACTACTGAAAATGCACAAATGCTGACCACGCCGGCGAACAAATTTATGCTGCCAATGGTCAAGACGCGTTATCGAACGGGCCATTTTTGTTTTGGAGATTTCGATGTAAAAGGTACCCGCTGACTAGCTGAAAAATTAATTACAAAAGATCGAGGCGTGAATAGTCATTAAATCGAAAGCCAATTAAACGGCTTTGAACTACTTAAGGAAGGCCGGCTACAAAAGGAAGCTCGATGCTTTGGGTGCCACACGAGTCAACGCAGGAAAAGTTTCCTCGATTTTTCCCAAATGAGAGACTCAGAAAAAACGCACCAAAACTGAGCTGTTTCTACAGCGGTTGATCAGGCCCACGAAAAGCGGATCACATATAACAGTAACGAGTTAAAAAAATCAAGGTCAAAGCGAGGTGTAGTAGTTCCACGATCTGTGACAAAGCCCAGACCGATATCAAAGAAGGTAGTAATATGTGTTTAGTGGGATTGGAAAGGCTCGTGCATTATAAGCTACTGCCGGCTGGCAAACGATTAGTTTGGACCCCTAACAAGATTACAACAGGCCATAGAACCAGAACGATCGAAAGTAGTCAACAAAAGGGGCATCGTCTTTCACAATGACATTTTTTGAATCACATACATCCTTAGTTAACTTCTTTGGAAGAAGTTGATAGAATTTAAATATATCCACCGTATAGCTCGGTTGTAGCACTATCATATGTTTCGGTTTCTGCAGAACTTTCCTAATAATATCAATTTAGTTTCAATGGAGGGATACAAACAACACGTCAATTTTCCGCCCATAAACTACAGAGGATCTACAATAATGACATTATCGAGTTATTAGTAAAATAATCGAAGATCATCGATGGATGGTGCCTTGGTCACCCCTATCTGGTTTTGTGAAAATGTTATAAACTATCGAAAAAAATATTGTAATTATATAAAGCTTTATCGATCACCCCATATTTTCGGTATTTCTTAGATATTCCTAATGCATCTACACTAGTATTTTTTCTTATAAGTTCTTTCTATAACTGTGGTCATAGTTATTCAATGACAACCATTTACCGCGACCAGACCGTTCCTGGACTCGCTTCAAACGTTCCTGTTGCAAATGTTTTATAGAACGAGTAAGTGGGTCAATGTTGTCGGGTTAATACGCAACGAACCTTCGCTCATACAACGTTCCATACATACTAATCAAATGGGTATAAATCCGGGCTGTTTGGCGGCCATATGTGCATATTTTCAAGCAGTCATTCCTGGATAACCCGGCTGATATGAGCGAGTCCTCTACTTTGCTAGAAGACACATGGCCTTTTTTTAGGCACTGCAGCTACCCACGGCCGCACAATAGTTTGCAAAGCATGTAAATAGACTTTAATAATGCGCTTGCCTTCCTGGGAAAGATATAATGGTATGACATATCATCTTTCATTGGACAACGCCACACTCTGAAAGTAAACATTGGCCTGAACATTGCTTTAAAACAGATAAACTCGAAATGAACGTATTCTCTGGACCGTAAGCAAACCAACAATCAGTTCTGCGGTTGATTGCATCAATGGTAGTTGTTTTCTTGTCAGAAGACATACGAAGACAACCTGTTACTTTGTCCTTGAGAAAATCGAAAAGCGAACATTTTCAATCGAATTTCTTGGTTTTAGTGGCCTGTGAAAGTGTTAGCCTAACCCTTATGACATATGCCAAGTACCTGAGGTCTTCGTGATCAATCCCTAGCATGGTACACCGAGTCACAGTAAATGTCTTCGCTAACGATTTGATTGAAACGAAATAAAAAAAAAAAAGAAATTTAAAATGCAATTTTAGACGACAGCGGCTAGCTATGAAATTCGCTCTATTGTTTTGTTTTTCGTGGATTTTTCACCGCGCCATTCCGGAACCTGCTTCTGCTTCTATCTTTTCCGCAGATGCACATTTGTTTGCGACGCGGTATAGCGTCTATTTGAAGTAAGCTGAAAAGTTCATTATCTCGTTGACGCTTCGTCGACCGTGAGCGCATTGGATGGTAGCTTATCTTCATTCAAACTCCGAAAACGAGGCATTGCTTTCCGCCATGATAGATT